TCTTTTTTCCAAGATATGATTGCTCTGTAGCTTTGAAGCCTGTCCTGTAACACAATCTGTAGACCAGCCCCCCTCTTTCTTTCTTTCTTTCTTTTTTCTTTCTTTCTTCTCCCTCCCCCCCCCTTTTTTTTGAAACAGGTTCTCACTATGTAATTGTAGCCCTGATTGTCATGGAACTCACTATATAAACAGGCTGGCCTCTAACCCCCAGAGATCCGCCTGCCTCTGCCTTCTAAGTGCTGGGATTAAAATCATGTGCTACCTCTTCCCAGCTGTAACAATTATTTAACAGCAGGTAAAGGTACTTGTTGCCAAATCTAAGGACCTGAGTTCAACACCTGGGCCCCACACCGGCAGTGGTGGTACATGCTTTTTTTTGGGGGGGGGGTTGAGACAGGGTTTCTCTGTGTAGCTTTGGAGCCTATCCTGGCACTCGCTCTGGAGACCAGGCTGGCCTCGAACTCACAGAGATTCTCCTGCCTCTGCCTCCTGAGTGCTGGGATTAAAGGCTTGCGCCACCAATGCCCAGCTGTGGTGCATGCTTTTAATCCCAGTTCTTAGGAAGCAGCGGCAGGTGGGTCTCTGTTGAGGAGGACCGGTCTTCAGTCAAGGGTATACAAGGGTATAGTTCAATATAGTGTACAAAGTAAATTCCAGGATAGCCAAGACTGTCACACAGAAAAGATTGTACTTGCTGTCTTTACAGAGAACCCAAGTCTGGTCCCTGGGAACTGTGTAGCTGCCGACAACTGTCTACAACTCCAGTTTTTGGAGACTCAAGGCCTTCTGACCTCTTCAGGCACTAACTACAGGCACTTGGTGCATTTGCATGAAAACACTTCTATACATGGAATAAAAATAAACAAATTTTTAAATTATTACTATTTTTTTTAAAAGATAAAATTTCTCTTTGTAGCCTTGTCTGTCCTGGAATTCACTTTGTAGATCAGGCTGGCCTTGAACTCAGAGATCTGTCTGCCTCTGTCTCTCTAGTGCTGGTATTAAAGGCATGAGCTGGGAGGTGAAGGCGATCTGGCTGCCTGACCTGTCACCCCATTGATCGCCAGGGTTGATTCGGCTGATCTGGCTGGCTAGGCAGGTGTCCCCTTCCTCCCTTACTGCTCCATGTGTGTCCCTCCTGAAGCTGAAGAGCGCTCTGAAGAGGACGACCTTCCCCAAATAGAGGAGGACCGGTCTTCGGTCAAGGGTATACAAGTAGCTGCGCTCCCCTGCTAGAACCTCCAAACAAGCTCTCAAAGGCATGAGCTGACACCACTACCTGAATTTTTAAAAAATTATTTTTTAAAGATTTATTTATGTATTTTATGTATATGAGTTTTCGGTATGTATGTATGTATGCCTGCATCTCAGAAGAGGGCATTGGATCCTATTGTGGATGGTTGTGAGCCACCATGTGGTTGGTGGAAATTGAAGTCAGGACTTCTGGAAGAGCAGCCAGTGCGCTTAACCACTAGCCATCTCTCCAGCCCCTAAAAAAATTATTTTAAAATAAAAGAGGCTAGGGACTGGGTGGTGGTGGTGCACGCCTTTAATCACAGCAGTTGGGAGGCAGAGGCAGAGGCAGGCGGATCTCTGTGAGTTTGAGACCATCCTGGTCTACAAGAGCTAGTTCCAGGACAGCCTCCAAAGCCACAGAGAAACCCTGTCTTGAAAAACCAAAAACCAAAAAAAAAAAAAAAAAGAGGCTAGGGTTAGTTGGGGTGGTGGTGGCACACGTCTTAATCCTAGCACTTGGGAGGCCGAAGCTTGTGGATCTCTGTTGCACAGAGAAACCTGTCTCAAAAAACAAAACAAAACAAAACAAAAAGTAGACTAGGATTGTAGTTCAGTTGGTAGACTGTTCCCCTAGCATGCGAGCATTCGAGATGTCTCAGGTTCAATCTTCAGCACCGTACAGAATTGATTGTGTGTGTGGGGGGGGGGTACACTTGAAATCCCAACCACTTAGGAAGCTGAGGTAGGCAGATCACACTTTTTAGTTCTGTGGGAGCTGTAGATGGAGTTCAGTGTCAGCCTGGGCAGCTTAGTGAGGTCCTGTCTCAAATATAAATAAATAAATAAATAAATAAATAAATAAATAAGTAAAGTTAAAAGAGGGCCAAGAGAGCGCACTCATATTCTTGCAGAAGACCAGAGCTCATTCCCAGTACCACATTGATGGCTCTCAACCACTTGGGTTTCTTTCGTTTTGTTTCGGTGTTTTGTTTGTTTGTTTGTTTTGTTTTGTTTTTGAGACAGGGTTTCTCTGTGGCTTTGGAGGCTGTCCTGGAACTTGCTCTTGTAGACCAGGCTGGTCTCGAACTCACAGAGATGTGTCTGGCTCTGCCTCCCAAGTGCTGGGATTAAAGATGTGTGCCATCAATGACCACTTGTAATTCCAAGGAATCTGATGCCCTCTTCTGGGCCACCTTCTGCACTGGCACTCATGCCCCCGCCCCAAACACACACATAGAACCAAATAAAAATAAAACAGATCTCAACAAAAGAAAAAGAGGACTGAGGATATAGCTAAATGTTAAACGGTTGTGGACAAGATTTCTCAGTGGATAAAGACACTTGTCACCATATTTTATGACCTGAGTTTAACCCCTGAAACCCATGTATTGGAAGAGGAGATCCTACTTCTGCAAGCTGTCCTCCAATCACTACACACAGGCCATGGCACACACATGCATTTGAATGCTGTGTGTACACACAGTAAGTAAGTAAATAAATGTAAAAATGGTTGGGTTTGGCCAGGGGGAAGTGGCACTCACCTTTAATCCCAGCACTCAGGAGGAAGAGGCAGGTGGATCTCTGTGAGTTTGAGGCCAGACTGGTCTACAGAGAGAGTTCCAGGATAGGCTCCAAAGCTACATAGAAACCCCGTCTAGGAAAAAAAAAGATTTTTTTGTTGTTGTTTGTATAAATGATAGAGTGTTTGCCTGGACTGTGTGAAGTCTTGGGTTTGATCCACAGCATTACAAATTGAAAAAAAAAAAAAAAAAGTAGCACACACCCAAAACATAAGTATTGCTTTTTGTTGTTACTGTCTGTTGGTTAGTTAGTTTTCTTTTTTATTATTTAAATTGGAAACAATCTTGTTTTACATGTCAATCCCAGTTCCCTCTCCCTCCCCTCCTTTCCTGCCCCCTACGACCAACCCACTGTCCCATCCCTTTCTGCTCCCCAGGGAGGGTGAGGCCTTCCACTCTGTCTGTTATATCATTGGGGCAAGGCCTACATGCTCCCCCGTTTGTCTAGGTGGAGAGAATATCCCTCTATGTGGAAAGAATGGGCTCCCAAAGTCCATTCGTGTACTAAGGATAAATACTGATCCACTACCAGAGGTCCCATAGATGAACCAGACCTCCAAACTGACACCCACGATCAGGGGGTCTGGGTCAGTTCTATGCTGGTTTCCCATTTATCAGTCTGGGGTCCATGAGCTCCCCCTTGTTCAGGTCAGCTGTCTCTGTGGGTTTCTCCAGCCTGGTCTTGACCCCTTTGCTCATCACCCCCACCTCTCTGCAACTGGATTCCAGGAGATCAACTCAGTGTTTGGCTGTGGGTGTCTGCTTCTGCTTCCATAAGCTACTGGATGAAGGCTCTAGGATGGCATATAAGGTAGTCATCAATCTCATTATCAGGGAAGAGCATTTAAGATAGCCTCTCCACTATTGCTTAGATTGTCAGTTGGGGTTATCCTTGTAGATCTCTGGACATCTCTCTAGTGCCAGATTTCTCTTTAAATCTATAACGGCTCCCTCCATTATGGTATCTCTCTTTTCTTGCTCTCCTCTATTCTTCCCCCGACTCAACCTTCCTGTTCTCTCATGTCCTCCTCTCTGGTTAGTTGGTTTTCTAAGCCTCGAAAAGTCAGCATCTGGGACAGGCATTTTATATCTGAGAAGGTGGGAGGAGGAAAGAGAAATTGAACATAGCTGAAGATCACATGGATGCTAGTGCTTTAGCTGGCTGTTGGGAGTTAGCTTGGCCGTTGGGTGTGATGGGCCTTCCAGGAAGGGCTAAGCTAGGAATGACCCAAAGCAGAGGAGAGGAATACACACCATCCACTGCCCAAAATAGCTCTCAGTAACCTGAGGAAGGGGTTGAGCCCGAGTCACGTGCTGAGGCCTGGCTCAGGAGTGAAGGTGAATGAGGGAGAGAGCCAGACTGAATCTCACTGGGCAGCTGGAAAGGGGACGGGCTGGAGGTTACTTAGTCTCTACTGATATTCAGAGCCACAATGAGGATTTCCCAGTAATGAAATATAGGAAATGATTTAGTAACATTGACACACATGGAGTGAAACTAAGGTAAGAGGATGGAACTGGTGACAAAGACCACCTGTGAACACAGTGGGACTTGCTGGGGATAGTGACACATAACCTGTGATCCTAGCCCTTGGGAGGTCGAGGTAGGAAGGTCAGAAGTTCAAGGTCAGCCTTGGCTACAAGGACAGTTCACGCCAGCTTGGGCTATTAAGACCTTGTCTCAAAACCCAGAAATTGTTGGAGGTGGAGGATCAGCATTTAGGAGTGCTAACTGGCCGGGCATTGGTGGCGCAAGCCTTTAATCCCAGCACTCAGGAGGCAGTGGCAGGAGGATCTCTGTGAGTTCGAGGCCAGCCTGGTCTCCAGAGTGAGTGCCAGGATAGGCGCCAAAGCTACACAGAAAAACCCTGTCTCGAAAAACAAAAAACAAAACAAAACAAAAAAAGGGGTGCTAACTGCTTATAACCATCTGCGGACCTACTGTCCCCCTGTCCCCTTTTGGCTGCTGTGTGTGTGTATGTATTGTGTTGTGTTTGTGTGTGTGTGTGTGTGTGTGTGTGTGTGAGAGAGAGAGAGAGAGAGAGAGAGAGCACAGACATACATTCATCCAAAACACCTATACACATAAAAAGTTAAAAATAATAAATTAGGTAACTAAAGCATCTCGCTCTCTCTCTCTCTCTCTCTCTCTCTCTCTCTCTCTCTCTCTCTCTCTCTCTCCCATTCCTTCCTTCCCTCTCCTCTTTTTATTTTCTTTGATTTCTCTAAGACAAAGTCTTACTCTGTAGCCCTCAATGGCTTCAAACTCACTATGTAGCCTAGACTGTCCTGAAATTTATGCTGAGTTCTGAGAGCCTAAGTGTGCAGAACCAAGCATGACTTGCCTTGTCTTTCTTTAGACTGGTTTTCATTCTTCTAATGTAACAATAGACCCCCAGACCTTAGCATCGCCAACTCCATGATGGAAGTACCATCAGGCCATAAAAGTCAGTACATAGACAAGTTTACCTGCCAAAAAACGAAAAAAAAGACATAATCTGTCAAAGTCCATAGTTCTGGGAAAGTCCCCAAATGCACTAACCTTGCCATTTGGCTTCTGTGGTTCCGATTCTGAATAATGGTTTTTGTTGACTAAAGCCAACTAGGATATGTTTTTTGCCCATAAAAAGCCCACCTTGAGGAAGGCTCACGGCTACACTGGTATCCTGAACACTCAGTGTGGTTTCCAGGTGGCTAATGAAGACTTTCTATTGGCTTACACCTATGTCTGAGCAGCCTTCCCTGGGGGCTGCCCCACAACAATAAAGAAGATTCAGTATATATACCGAACTAACTGGTCAGTAGGTAGAAACTTACGAGTTTTAAAAGTGTGGTGGGCTTTTCCTTTCTGCTGCCATGCCATCCAGACTGAGGAAGACCCAGAAACTCTGGGGTCACATGAGCCATGATTGCATTGGTAAAAACTGCAAGCATACAGGAGGCTTCAGGAATGCTGGAGGCATGCATCACCACAGGATCAACTTTGACAAATACCATCCAGGTTACTTTGGGAAAGTTGGTATGAGGCATTACCACTTAAAGATGAACCAGAGCTTCCGCCCGACTGTCAACCTGGATAAACTGTGGACACTGGTCAGTGAGCAGGCACGGGTCAACGCTGCCAAGAACAAGACTGGAGCTGCTCCCATCATTGATGTTGTGTGATCGGGCTACTACAAAGTTCTGGGGAAGGGAAACTCCTAAGCAGCCTGTCATCGTGAAAGACAAAGTTTTCAGCAGAAGAGCTGAAGAGAAGATAAAGGGTGTTGGAGGTGCCTGTGTCCTGGTAGCTTGAACCACCCAGGGAGGTTAATTAAATGCTAACATTTTCAAAAAAAAAAAAGTGTGGTGGGCACATCTTTAGCTCTAGCACTTGGGAGGCAGAGACAGACAGATCTCTGGGAATTTAAAGCTAGCCTCACCTACATAGGAAGATCCAGGGCAGCCAGGAATATATAGTGAGAACTTGTCTCAAAACAAACAAGAAAGGAGTTATAGCCAAGCATGGTATACACAAATCTGTACCTCAGGTTTAGGAGGAATATCAGGAGTCCAAAGGCCAGCCTAGGGTGCACAACGAGTTTGAGAAAAGCCTGAGCTACATGAGACCCTGTCTCAAAACCAAACAAAACAGGTTTTTGTTGTTTGTGTTTTTATAAAACTTGTAAGTTATGCCAAGTGTTCCTTTCTGAAATGTTTGTAGCCTAGGAAAACATGACAAACACATGAAACAAGGAGAAAATATAGGACACACGCTTGTTTATGTGGAATTCATTATTCAGGGCACCACTGACCTGGGTTCAGTCAAGAGTGTCTTCCTGGAGGAAGCTCTCAAAGGAAGCTAGTTATTGCTGTAGAATGGCAGGGAGACAACGAGAGGTAAAGAGAATGAACTAGGAAGGATTAAATGGAAGTAATTAGCTCTTTAATTAGTTGAAGAACAGCAAGCAAATTGGTTTTGTAGGGCTACTGGACCTCAGGGATTCCAAAGTAGTTAGCTCGGTTAAGACAGAGTGTTAATGAGGTCACAGTTCAGTCATGTATCCCAGTTAATTTCTCTCTTCTACTCAACTTGCTCCTTACACTTCACTCCAAGCAGCTGTCTCCTACGTCAGAGGAGGTGGGTCCAGACCAGAGGGTGACGCTGGAAGGAGCAAACCGCCCTTCAAGGTCATATGCCATCAGAACACCACATTCGGACTGGATAGAAGGAGATTCCGCAGCTGTAATGGGAAGAGATCATGACAGGTCCTCCCTGGAGGGCTTAGAGGGAAAGGTTCCATGCCCCCCAGGAAGGTGGAAGAAAAGTGGAAGGGAAGAGACAAAACATTCATTTGTTCATTAAAAAAAAACTTTTTATTAAGTGTGTGTGTGTGTATGTATGTGTGGATGTGGTGTGTGTGTGTGATGTGTGTGCATGTGCGATGTGTATGTGTGATATGTGTGTATGTGTATATATGTGTGTGTGTGGTGTGTGTATATGTATGTGTATGCATGTGTGTGATGTGTATTGTGATGTGTGTATATGTATGCATGTATGTGTGTGTATATGTGTGTGGTATGTGTGTATTCATATATGTGTGTGGTGTGTGTGTATGTATGTGTGTGTATGTATGTGTGTATGTGTGAGTGTATATGTATGTGTATATGTGTATGTGTTTGTGTAGGTCAGAGAAGGTTCTTTCCATGGGGGGGTCCTGGGGATTGAACCCACATCTGGCTTGGCAGCAAACACCTTTACCCATTGAGTCATCAGGCCAGCCTCATCTTGGTTGAGATTGAATCCAGGGACTCATTTGTGTAAAAGCATTTGACTTGCATCACAGCATAGCTCTGATTGCCTGTCTTCTCCCTGCCACCATTTGATGGTCAGGCAAAGCTCAGATGAATATGGAGAGCATTAATACAGCAGAAGGGCTTGCTCTGTGACAGTCCCAATGTCCTTAAATTCAGCCTGACGTGGGAGAATTTGCTTGGTCTTGCATTCATCTAAGTCTAGTCTCTAATTTGTACTTTGTTTCTCTTCTTTACTTTACCTTTGTTCTTGGTATGTATGTATGTATGTATGTATGTATGTATGTATGTATGTATGTAATGATCTGTCTACAGGCCAGAAGAGGGCGCCAGATCTCATTACAGATGGTTGTGAGCCACCATGTGGTTGCTGGGAACTGAACTCAGGACCTCTAGGAGAGCAACCAGTGCTCTTAACCTCTGAGCCATCTCTGCCTACCTCCTGTACTACTGGGATTAAAGGCATCAGCCACCACCACCTGGCACAAATTACTTTTTAAAAAGATAATTTGTTTTTATTTTGTGTGCACTGGTGGTTTGCCTGCATGTATGTCTGTGTATGAAGATGTTACATCCTGTGGAACTGGAGTTACAGACAGTTGTGTGCAGCCATGTGGGTGCTGGGAATAGAACCCAGTTCCTCTGGAAGAGCAGTCAGTGCTCTTACTGCTGAGCCATCTCTCCAGCTCCAGTTCTGACTTGTATCAAGAGCAACTGTTTTCTCCTTGAATCATGGGAAGTAGTAAGTGGTATTCACTGTTGGGCTTTGCCTGTGATGTCTCAGCCTCCATTGAGTACATGTGTTTCCAGACAATGATCGCTCTTTTCTCTAAAAGAGTAAATTTTGGCCAGTTGTGATGGCTCATGTCTGTAATCCCAGCAATTGGGAAGGAGTGTTCCTATGAGTTCAAGGTCAGCACAGGTTACAAAGCAAGATCACGTTTCAAAACAAACACCTCAAAGCGATCCTCTCCTGTGGTTCATGTCTGTAATCCCAGCAGGAAGACAAGACCTCCAAGAGTTCCAAGCCAGTCTGCCCCACATAGTGCTGGCGCCTTAAAGAACAAACAAAACATGTCGTCTGTTTGTTTTGGTTTGAGCCTGGGGCTTGGCTCAATGTGTAGACCTGGCTACTCTAAAACTGGCTATGTAGCCCAGGCTAGCCTAAAACTTGTGGCAATCCTCCTGCCTCAGCCTCCGACCTCTTTTCATACATATGAACGCTCCTAGGAACATTCATGAAGGAGTACTGCGAATTCAAGGCCAGTCCAGGCTAAGGAGCTGAACATCTTGTCTAGAATAACGAGAGGGGGAGGAAGAAAGAGGGAGGAGGGAGTGTAGAGCGAGGGGAGGGGTGCTATTCAAGTCTGCCCAGAGCTGGAAACGCTAAGATCCTTTTCCTAAGATGTCAATCAGCGGACGGGCAGAGCCTCCCAACTCTAACCCGCTGGTAGAGACGTTCCTCGGGACAGCTACAGACATCTGCCGTCGACACGCCCACGACGTCGCCTCTGCGCCTACGTACCAGGTCCTGTGACCACAGACTCGCCAAGTAGTTTGTGCCAGGCGACCTCGCTCTCTCTACCCCTCGAGCCACCTCGACAGCTCCGCTCAGACACGCACCCAGCGAGCGCCCTTTCTTTCTCTCCAGAGGTGTCAAAGAAACTACATCTACCGACAGGCAGCGTGGCCCTTTCCCTTCCTCCCTCGCCCTCCGTCTCCCGATCCCC